GATAGATAGATAGATAGATAGATAGATATGGAGTGTGAGAGAGAAATAGATAGATAGATAGATAGATAGATAGATAGATAGATATGGAGTGTGAGAGAGAAATAGATAGATAGATAGATAGATAGATAGATATGAAGTGAGAGAGAGAAATAGATAGATAGATATGAAGTGAGAGATAGATAGATAGATATGAAGATAGATAGATAGATATGAAGAGAGAGAAAGAGAAATAGATATTCATTAGAAGTAAATAATGCATATGTACAAATCTATTATTTAGATATGCCTCTGCATATGTACATATGCACACGCATATATATGAATTTATGTGTGTCTGTGTGCGTAGAGAGAGAAAGAGAGAGAGAGAGAGAGAGAGAGAGAGAGAGCCACCCTCTTCAATGGTAGATTAACAAATTAGCAAAGGTACAGATGCACAACTGGAGAACAAATTCTTGCACATTAATTACGATTATATCTTTTGGTCGTTGCGTTCTCTTAAATTGTCCAATGATATTGCCTATTTAGAGAAAGCACAAAAAAAAATCGCCATTAGTGGTATTTCGAGACTTCCCTTCTTTTTATCTTTCTTGGATGTTAACGACGCCATTTTGACAGCTAATTCCGCCCATTTGGAAATGATTCAATGCTATTCTATGTCCCGTGTACCTTCAGGACGTGGGCGATCATAGCACTCCAAAACATCCTATCTGCTGTGACACTGAGCAGTGTTTCTTTCATTTGAATTCGTTTGGGAAGAAACCTGTTGGATTATCATCCGTTGATTCCCATTAGTGTCATTTTCTCACCGTAAATGTCTATCATCTCATCAAAGCCTTAACTACTTAAGTCCGCGCTGATATCATTGCAATTGAGTCTTCTTATATTATCATAATTCTATGCTAGGGATGTTTGTTCAGAAATATTGTAAGGAAAAGTGATACAATTGCTACCACACCTATATATTTATCATCACACCCGATATCTCAAGAAATATATATATATATATATATATATATATATATATATATATATATATATATATATTATTTTCATTATTCAGACTGTTATCTTCATCTTTATTGCCATATTCACAACGTTTCGGTCGTTGTACGCTCCGGCCTTCGTCAGGTGATTGGAATTTTGAACCGAACTCTTTATTTCGTCCACCGGGGTAGATTGTTCTAGTTCCGCGTTCCATGACTCTTCTGGATGTCTCATTTATTTCCCTTGAGCTCAACTTTCCAAGTATTTTGGTTCACTACTGCTAAACTCACAACTCTTTGGGTGTATTCACTGGATTTAACCAACGTCTTTATCCACTGGGCCATGTGTTCTCAAAGCATCACCATCATCATCATCATCCCAATAATAATAATAATAATAATACGCTCATTAAAGGGATCCATGGTAGTCCAAGCCTTAATGAAATACAAAAAAATTGTACTCACAAGTCCATCTAACACCTTACAAAGAGCTTTATCTATGTAAAAAGTGTGTGTTGTTACTTTTTTGGAGGTGTTTTTTTTTTCAAAAAATGCTCAGTGCAAAATATCATAATGCCATTTCTGGCCTTAGTTCTCTGGTTGGGACCCGGAAAGAAATGAATATGCACCAGTAAGCAAAGGAAATAATAATAATAATAATAATAATAATTTTATGAAACTGTACAATACGTACAGTCAGAAGAATCAAAGCTAATCGTCCAGACATAGTGATCAAAGACTACAAAAACAGGATGTGCTTTCTTATTAACATGGTATTTCTTGCTGACAGTAATGTATCTTTGAAGATCTTCAAAAAATATCAAAATACAAGGATCTTGAAGTGGAGATTGTGGCATATGAAGACATCAGTAGTTGTGATTGGAGCTTTTACTTTGAAATAGACTCATTAACGGAATCCCTGGCAACAAAAAAAAACTTGTTCTCACAATCACAGCTCATACCTTACAGGGCGCAGTGGGGAAGCTTTATCTATGTAAAACGTGTGTGGTCTTTTATTTTAAATTTTTCCCAAAAGTAGATGTGATAATGCTGTTTCTCAACTTAGATCTCTGTTTGAGACCCGGAAAGAAATGTGCATACAACAGAAATCAACGAAAATAATACTACTACTACTACTAATAATAATAATAATGGTATGAACACCACACAGACCCGGTTACGGAGATATAACCTGTTAAATTATATGGGACTACACAATACACACTGACAGAACAATCAAAACCAACGGCCCAGACATTGTTATTAAAGAACACAAACAAAAAAATCTGCCTCCTTATTGATATGGCACTCCCTGCAGACTGCAATGTATCTTTGAAGATATTAAAAAAGCTGTCAAAATACAAGGACCTTGAAATAGAAATCTCAAAAATGTGGCATATGGGAACATCAACAATCCCTGTTGTAGTTGGAGCCCTAGGATTGGTTGGAAAAGATTGCAGTAGACTAATTGAAGGGATTCCTGGAAGTCCATGCCTCAAGGAGATACAAAAAATTGT